TGTCGTAGAACGTTAGAATCGTCACATCCTGGATGTTGTCCGTACCTTTCTAATTGAATCTTTAGTACTTTATAAGTTTTAAGTTAAAGCTCTATCTACAGCTGTATATTTGATCAATAGAATGCCTTCAGCACTTTCGACTTTGACTCGCATTACTCTCACTTGTTTGGTGATGTTCTAGACCATCATTCTTTACTCACATTTAGTTGTGTTTGCTTTGTTTACCATGCCTTGAAAGTTTCAAGCTTGTAGCTCAAGCTGCTATGTGTGCTTTCATGGGATAGTTCTACACTGTGTGTTACGATACGATCACTAATAAGCTACATATTTCTCAAATTGTAGTTTTCTTTCAAAATCAATAATTATTCCAATCTCGTATCACACCTGATTCCTATCCTGTCATTCTTCCTACTTTTGATGTCATGCCTTGTCATATTTAATGCTTTAACCAGGAATTTTATAGCAGACATCCCTACTGCCTCCTTCACTTGATCTTGAAATGGTGTATGTCTTGGGCCACCGTCTCATCCTCAAGAGCTTGAACTTCGACGCTCCAGTCGTATATGTCATGCCTTGTCATATTTAATGCTTTAACCAGGAATTGTATAGCAAACATCCCTACTGCCTCCTTCACTTGATCTTGAAATGGTGTATGTCTTGAGCCACCGTCTCATCCTCAAGAGCTTGAACTTCGATGCTCCAGTCGTATCCCTCGTCCTCCAGATGAGTATGGGTTCTCACATACTGCACTCCAAGCTACCATTGATAATACTTCTATCCTAACATCTTATTCCCAGGCCGCTAGTCAAGCATGCTGGAAGCAAGCTATGCATAAAGAATTTCAGGCTCTCCAAGACAATCATAATTGGGACATTGTACTCTGTCCAAATGGGGTAAAAGTTATTGGATGCAAATGTGTTTACACATAGAAGCTACGTGCTAATGGTTCCGTAGAATGACATAATGCTCATCCTCCAAAGCTTGAACTTCGACGCTCTAGTCGTGTCACTCGTCCTCCAAATAAGTATGGTTTCTCACATATTGCACTCCAAGCTACCATTGGCACTACTTCTGTACCAACATCTTATTTCTAAGTCACTAGTCAAGCATGTTTGAAGCAAGTTATGCATGAAGAACTTCAGGATTTCCAAGACGATCATCCTTGGGACATTGTGCCCTCTCCAAATGGGATAAAAGTTATTTGATGCAAATGGATTTACACAAAGAAGCTATTTGCTGATGGTTTTATAGAATGATATAAGGCACACGTGATCACATTTGTCATCAACAAACAAGAATATGGTATTGACTTTGAGAAGGCGTTTGCATCAGTGGCTAAGATGACTACAGTATGTACTATCTTTTCCATCATTGCATCCCAAGATGGTCTCTTCAACAAATGAATGTCAAAAATGCTTTTCTACACGAGGAACTTGAAAGAAGTATATATGACTCCTCTTGGCCTCTTAACACCTTCCTCCTCTGACGTTTGTTGTTTGAAGCTGGATCAAAGCTAGGAATTAACGTAACGGGAATTTTAAAATTTAATGTACGAATAAATTTATATATAACAAGAAAAATAGCAATATAACATTACTTATTACAATTGTACCCCAACGATATTTTACAGCATTAAATACATCTATAATAGAATTTAGATCTAAATACATACTCAATTTTCATTCAATGTTTAGTGTCAAACAGTCAGTGAAAAAACCATCATTCATTTTGTTACGAATTTTCATCTTCATATGTTTTATTGTTGAAAATCCTTGTTCTACAATCGCCATTAAAACAGGTGTCAATACTAGACAAGTCAATATAGTCAAAATGTCTTTAACACTCCGACCTACTACTTGCAACTAATTCTCGGCGTAAATTACAAAGTGTGTGTACTTGAAATCATGGTTCAAAATCATGTCATTATGATAATGTTGCAACTCAACTTCCAAATAATAAATATAAGTGGTAAAACCATAACATAAGTGCTTGGGATTTGACAGAATTCTTAATCTTTTGAAGTTCTTTAGATTTTAAGTGCAAAATTCATGAATCAATATATATATATATATATATATATATATATATATTCTTGGATTTGACAGAATTCTTAATCTTGTGAACTTCTTTAGATTTCATGTGCAAAATTCAGGAATCGTTAATTTCTGTTTCTGAAGGTGCAATTCAAATCTAGCCATAACTAATGTCTAGATGAATATTCAAGATGTTCACATATTGCAAGGATTCGAATTTCAGAGGCAAGCTGAAATACAAAAAGGTAAAACATTCAATTGGCAATTCAAATTATTTAAATAATCATAGCCAACAACAAAAAATTTAGCCTTGGGATGGAAGAACGAAAAAAATATTTATGAGGTTGCCATGGAACTTTACCCAAACCCAGACCAATAGGCAATTTATGGTTGAAAATATAAAATACTTACAATTTACAATAGCTGCGATTTGTGGTTGAAAGTCAGCAGTCAACAGTTGATAGCTCTGGTGTGTGGGTGAATAGATTTAGGGTTTGAAAAATTTGGGAATTATTTCAATTTGGTTTTTAAAAGTTTCAAATGATGCTTGTGGTTGAACTTTGAAGACAAAAAAGGAATTAAATGACATGGGATGGAGTATGGATTAAAATTAAACAAGATAGTTTTAAACATTAGGCCTAAAATTAAACAACCAATTGCGCCAAAAATTAAAATGAAAAATTAGTTTAAGAATTGAGGTGGGCTAGCTATGTGATATTGTTTGTTGGTGGGATATAGATTAAAATTGAAATCATTTTTTCATCTAATTGTACCATTTTTACTGGACCTGGGATTGGGCAACAGTAGGCTACAACTAAGTGCAGCCCTCTGCCAAATTTGCCCCTTGTTTGAAGCGATCATTATATGGGTTAAAGCAAGCACTGAAGGCATAGTTTGATAAATTCATACTAGTCCTTGATTTTAATTTTATCTCGAGTAAATTTGACCTCTCTCTTCTTTAGAAAGATTACTATTGGAATTGTTGTCCTTCTCGTGTATGTGGATGACGTCATTAAAAGTTCTAATTTACAGTTAATTAAGGAAGTGTAACAAAATTTTCGAACTTCTTTTCACATGAAAGATTTTGGTCCGCTGCCGTATTTTCTTGGCCTTGGGCTGCTTTCCACTTATATGGGCACATTGTTATACTAACATACATATATACTGTATATAATTACTTGTGCTGTACTTGAGTCCGGCAACCCGGTTAAGGTCAATTGGAAGCTTCATCAGGAAGGAGATCTTTTAGCCGATCCTTTGCTATATCGACGATAGGAAGTTTGAACTATTTAACAATTATAAGGCCTGATATCTCTTTTGCAGTCTAGAAAGTTAGTCTATACAAGTCCCTCGACATTCTCATCTTGTTGCTGGGCGATATATCCTTCGTTATGTAAGGGTATATTCCTATTGGGACTTCTCTAGAGTTGACTGGTTTTACTGATGCTGATTGGGCTGGCTGTGCGGATACTCGAAGGTCGATTACTGGTTGGTGCATGCTTCTTGATGATGCTCTCATCTCTTGGGAGAGTAAGAAGCAAGATCATATCTTGAAGTCTTCCATTGAGTTTGAATATCAAGCTATATCCTCCACTTTGCTTTGAGATTGTGTGGCTTAGGCCTACTAGGTGAACTTGGTTTCATCAGCTTACTTCTACTCCTTTTCATGCTGACAATACAAACACTGTTCAGATTATTGCTAATTCATTATTCTATGAGCGGACCAAACATATTGAGGTTGATTGTCACTCCATTCGAGAAGCATTTGACCAACAAGTGATTATACTTCCTCACATTTTTATAGATCTGCAGACCACTGCCATATTTACCAAGGCTCTCGATCATCTTCAACATTAGTTCATGGTTGACAAATTGATGCTTTTTGATTGACCAGTATCAATATGAGACGAGATGTCAATGTATGTACATAATTATATTGCAAATATAGAATAGTATTCATTTCCTTATATAAGAGATATTACAAAAGATGATTATTAAGTTATAGGGGTGTAATTGGGAGATTTGATGGATAATATTTACATTGTAATTAGGGGCTGTAATTAGGAAACAAGCTTCTATTTAATGATAAGAAATTCTCAATTGAGAGCCATTCAGACAGTTCTATAATTCTAACAAGACTCCTAATAGATTGTACAATTGTCTAACGACTATTTAAAGACCATAACCACATGGATTTTGGAAAGTAGTAATGTCCTGCCATTAGCCCATTGCTAAGAGAACCAAAATAACGATATCTCGGTAAACATTAGACAACCTATGTAGTAAAATTATAGAAGCTTGCTAGCATAACTGAAAAGCATAAATTCAGCTTAATTTTATTGTAGTTCGCTGCAAATCCTGGCATAAATGAAGCACCTAATTCCTTCTGTTAAGCACGCATTACTTTATATTCTTACATTTGATAAAACTCGTCCTTGTGTCTTTTGAGTTATTTTGCAAAATTTCAAGTCTCAACTGTTTATGATTCCTTGCATGAGACTTGTCATCTTGGGAATCCTTTCATTTCATTAATCCATAAGGAAAAAGTAAATAAACACCCTCATCCAATCGCAACTACGGTCTTGTAGCTTGTATTTAAGCTCTTATATTAGTGAGATGGTGATTCTATCTGCATTAATTTTACTAAGTATTCTTCAAAGTGATGTGAGGATCTCTGGGAGAACTTCCCTATTCTCAACGAAGTGAGATGGGAGCGATTTGTTGGTTATTCATTATTACCATGCTGAAAGAAATTACAGTAACAGGTCTTTCACAGTGAGATCCAATACAATCAGCTAAACCTTATTTGGCCACTGCAAAAACTGGTTGTATTACTGGACATCTCGTATATTCTATTCTCTTATGTTTTGGAATCTGCTCTCATATACAGTTTTCTTCCGATTAGCTAGTGATATTTTTGTATGAACTACTTTCTAGTGACAATAGTTTTATTTTATTACTTGCCAGGAAATTGAGAGACAATTAGCAGCAAAAGAAGCTTCCCTTCCTCAGGAACCAACACCAGATGATGAAAATGCTGTTACTCTTCTTGTGCGGATGCCTGATGGCAGCAGGAGAGGTCGGAGATTTCTCAAGTCAGACAAGCTTCAGGTATCGAAGTGGTCGATATTTGATTTGCACCAATGGTTCATGAACTGACTTGATTTGATTGTTGTTTATTTGCAGTATCTTTTTGACTTCATTGATGTTGGCAGAGGGGTCAAACCTGGCGGTTACAGATTGGTAAAATATCATCCTTTTCTTGTCTTGCACTGTCTGGTCTGATTTTCTTTAATTCCTAAGCAAAAAACCTTTTGCTGATACCCCATCTGCAGCATCAAAATCTCTTGGTGAACCGGCCCAGCCCCACTCCCCACTCCCCAAAAAAAAATTAAGGAAAAAAAAGGTAGCATTAGACAAAATAGGAAATGTTTAACTAGGCAGTTCTTTTTGCTGCTGAAGATTTTATTAATATGACTATTTAGTCGTGCGAAACAGTTGTATTGCTCTTTTTTTTTTTTGTCCTCTAGGCTCTCGTCAAGAATGCCTGGATTGATTGAAATTTGTGCAAAAGAAAGAAAGTGTATCTAACTAGATTAAAAAAATTTGTAAACTTGTGTAGTTTGACGAGGATATGCCTATATAATTTGAAAATTGTGGGAAAAAAAAAATTAATAATAATGATGATAATAATAATAATAATAATAAGAGAGTAAATGGGTTAAAAATTTCTCATCAACTTTGCCAGGTTGACAAAAAAAGTATCCATGTTTAGCGGGATGATTTGGCTACACATTAAGAGAGAGGGATATATTTATCAAAATTTTTAAAAATTAACATTATTTACGAACCCAAAATTAGTTGACAAAATTCTTTTTCATTCATTAGAGATGCTCATCAATGCGGGTATCTGAAAGGTGGAAAAACATATCTGTGCTTGGGTTCAGCTATTCTGACTGTTGAAAACGGTTTTCTCCTGTGCAGGTGAGGCCGTACCCTCGACGTGCTTTTGCTGATGGAGAGAGTTACTCGACTCTCAACGAATTGGGTTTGACTAGCAAGCAAGAAGCCTTGTATCTCGAGTCAAAGTAACATGTTTATTTTGTGAACTTGTTAAAACCCGTGTGTTAAAATCTTCTATTCTAACTCGGGATCGTGGAATTTTTTTTTATTTTTTTATTGGAATGGACTGTGACATGATCGATGGAGATAATGGGGGCATGCCTATATTGCTACCAAGAATTTGGTCGATGGTGTCCTGATGTTTCTGGGGAATAGTTTTTATGTTGAAAGTATTCAATTGGTTCACTCGAATAGAATGCGCATGAAAATTTTCTGAAATTGGAATTGTGATCGAAAGGGTGTTGCACATTTTGTTGCTTTTTGTGTTGTGGTTGTCTTTGTGATTTTGCCCTTATTGAAATTTTCATTTAGGTTCAGTTGGTGTTAGAAAATTATCTAATACAAAATGACACGTTTGGAATTCCTTTCTCACAGTGTGTCGATTTCTAAATACTCAGTGGGCCTGTCTCGAGTTATAGGACCTGTTTGGCATGGTTTTTAGGAGCTAAACGGAGCTTTTGAGATCAAAAATTATTTTTGGATCCGTTTGATTAATTTTATAAAAGTGCTTCTTTCAGTTGTCCATTGTAGCTTTTTCTAAAAGCTCTTCTGCGCGGATTTTTTGTTTTTTTTTTTTTTTGCGGGGGGGGGGGGGGGGGGGGGGGGGGGAGTTTTCAAATATTAGTTAAGGTGGAAAGTTCTTTTACAAGAAACAGAAATAAAAGTAGAAAGTCCTTTCAAATTAGTTAATAAATGATTGGTGCATAATAAATTAGGGGAAAAATTCATAAATCTTGTATTAAGTATGAAGACTTCAAAAACCAGGTCTTAAATTTATAAAATGCAAAAATCAGGTTTATTAGTTAATTAATTAAAAATATTTATTAATGAAATATATTAAGGTCACAATTTTATGATTCATGGTCGTAGATACGTACTTAAAGGTCACATATTTATTTATCGGTCACATATCATTAAATTAATTGGTCACAAATTATTTCGAAATCACAAATCAAAAAATTTGTAGGTGACAGATTATTTTGAGGTCACAATTAATTGGTCGCAAATCAAAAAAATTACTTTTAAGTCACAAATTTCAGAATTTTTAGCTCACAATTAGATTGTGGGTCACAAATTAACTAAATTGTTGGTCACATACAGTAAACATCCCACCTCGATCCCCATCGATGACCAATACTAAGGTCACAAATTGTGACCACTGCTAAAAATTTGTGACCACCCCTCTCCACTGTCTCCTCCAGTCGCACAATAGACAACACCAACGCCACCACCACCTCTCGACAAAAACAAACCAACACACACGACCATAATCGCCATCATGACGGCTCCAACGGAACAAAATATATAATTGGTCACAACCACTAACTAGCACCATTGAAACAATGCACCTACCATCATTGTAGTAACATCACCTCTAGCACCCTCACCACCAACAATTCAACCACGCCACCGACACTACCACTCCACAACCACAATCTTCACCTAAAAAATCCTCCACCCCGAAACCACGGCTCAACACCGATGTGAACGGTGCTCAAATCATCACTCCGATCTAAAAACCGTCGCTTAGATTAGGGCACACCAACAAATACCCATTCAACATCTCGCAACAGTTCTCTTCAGTGGTGACACCGTTGCGTAGGTGTTTCGAATCTAGTGGTAACACCGCTGTTGATGTCCCTACATTGAGAGAGGAGAGAAAAGAGTGCGCGGTGCTCAAATCATCTAGTCGATCTGAAAAGCGTCGATCAGATTAGGGCGCACCAACAAATACACATTCAATATCGCTACTCACGACGGTTTTCTCTGGTGGTGACACCGTCGTGCAAGTGGTTCGACTTCGACAATAACACCTCTGCCACCTGAGAATTAGAAAATTTAAACACCTTCTTTTTGTAATTTCCTCATAAATTAGTTCATAGAGTTGGACAATATAATTAGTAAGGATCAATATTTTATTTTTTCGATATTGCTCAATTTATTTTATCAAGCATGGCATTAAAGTATCAAGGCACAAAGGTAGATCAGACAAAGTATTGAAGAAGAAAATATAGATGAAATTTTACTTATTGGAGTTCCTATAATAAAAACTCAATATGAATAAATAAACTCTCATTCAGTTATATGATCGTGTACTGTATTAAGAAATTTAGAATGCTGATAAATGTATAGTTATTTTTGTTTTTAAAATTATGTCTCCAGTTAGAATTTTCTAGATGGTATATTAGTCTACTATGCATGTTTTTATGTTATGTAATCTCTCCAAAAACACTTTTAAGAGTTGGTTTGACTGTCTTAACAATGGCAGTGTATTTTTAGATGTTAATGAACAATAGGTACTTCTATTTATGGACAATATTCTTTGTTTCATTCAAGCAGGATTCTAAGTATAAATCTTATTGGGTAGAATTCCCTCCGTTGTGGGTTATGAATCTACCCCGAGTACAGGAATGGATATTTTACAAGATATATTACTTTCACAAAAGAAGGGTGAGTACATCGGCCATGTCCCTCTCTTCTTTTAGGTTTTCTATTAAGCAATCAAGGGAACGCTCAAAGGACGGTAGATGCGAAAAGACAAAGTATCTACAAAATTGAATTAAATATTCTTTTTCACCTTGCTTAGGAGAACTTTAAGACGTGCCCGAGTAGGACCATAATGATGCGAGTAATTGTTGGAGCCAGGAAACATTTATTATCGTTGGAATCTACGGATATTACTCTAACATAGAATGTTCTAGAAGGATTTTGTACTTGAATTCGATAATAGATACTATCTTCGTCCCATAAAGAGAGACCTGGTCACTTTCCTCATTGAAGATGTTATGTTTTAGTTTTCTAATTTAATATATCTTGTTATCAACAAATATAGACTAATCATATTTAAACCATTATTCAATGTAAAGGTATATTAGGAAAAATATATGAAAAATTTATATTTTCAAATATATTAATTACATTTTTTTAAAATCCATGTCAAAATAGAAACAAGCATATCTTTATATGACAGAGATAGTAAATGATATTTGATTTGTGAATTTTTTTTCCAAAAAAATACACACACCACACAAGATGAAACACGTTTTGTCATAATATCTGCTGTGAACTTGTTTTTGAATATCCTGCAGGTCTCCCGGTGGATAAATTAAAGGGGAAAGAGATATAAAATGATACTCAAGGAAACATCTATGAAATTGTACTTAATTGGTAGACTTCATGGACTTTTGAGTGCTGAAGAATTCATGTTGAAATTGCCAGATGACTTGAAGGGTGGGGGGGGGGGGGGGGGGGGGGGGGGGTGTTTGTTCAGTCTCTAAGGTGACACAACACTCTTAAGTTTGATAAGTAACATTACTTTTAACCCAATAAAGATCGTATATGATCTGCCTTATTATCATCCATTTGGTATACTGATCTCTTGATAATGCATATGATTGAAGGAATGAGATAGAAGCTCAAAAAATAAAATAGTACTTTGTGGCTTCGGTGGTGACTAGATCAATGGTTATCGCTTCAAGGGATTGCTCTCTCATAATGGATCAAATCACACCAAATCAATCCGTTTTCTTCCATTTATTACAAAGCGAATTTCACATGTACTAGCATTGCATTTTTGATGCAGTCATCGTTCTTGGTTCTCCTGTAGCTGTAACCTCTCGAATCACCGGAACCACAAGAATCCTTAATTAGAATGAGATTCCACCTAGACCCAATGGTAAAACTAGGATCACTTTTTTGCTTTCTTTTGTCGCATACAGTCTACTATTATTTGTTCCTGGGCGATTAATCAGATTAACCAACATGTTAACTAATAGATGACGATAAATTGGACAGGATTTTGTTGTTTTCTTTATGCTACTCAAAGAGTTCTGTTCAACACAATGATGAGATTCTTTAAGGACCTTAAATGTTAAGATAAGTTTGAGTTATTGATCTTAAAAATAATAAGAGGAAAACATATCATTAGATGTCGATTACTATCTTATTTGGTTGTCGTGTTGTCAGTATCGAAAAATGTATTTAAACACGCACAGATGGACGCCACTGTCTATCCTTAGATCTTATCCACAATGACTATTAGGTACAGTGAGTTAGAATAGCTCTCAAGATTGTTCATCGATCTCATCTCAAAGAGGTTTCCGAAAACTTTTGGACAATAGGGAAAAGGCATAAGGGTCTTTATGACATAATCAATAATTCGCTTCATTTTTTATTAGAAATTAACAATACTTTTTTCTCTTTTGAGTTGTTCTGCCGGATCAGTTGTAGTCTTGGGAACAGAAGGGAGGTTCACCGAGTATGGAGAGCTTACAAGGCTGCCTCTCTCGATAAGTATGAGGGCTACATTGCCCTCACTTAAGTAATTTCTAGTCTGGTTACATTGAAGGAAATTTTAGATAAGATTCATGGCTTTGAATCTAGACTTTTACGAAAATTTCATTACCATGATGGACAACCCTCAAATTGTCTGTACTTCTGTGTTGAACCAATTGAGCGAAAAAAGCACAAAACTCCCACTTCGGGAGCTTTCTTATGTGGTCTGGGATCTCATGAGTAAAAAACGTTACAAAGATGGTCTTGACGTAAAACCCGAAAAAATTAATTTTCTCTACTAGTGTGATTTAAATTGTTGGATTTTAGTGTAGTGGATGAAATCAGATTCATTCGTACTGTATATATAGTTTAGATACCGATTTTGAGTATACCGTATATGGAGCTTATCGTATTTCCAGGTAGCTTATCGTATATGCAGTTTATCGTATTTGTAGACAGCCTACCGTATTTGCGGCTTATCGTATATACTGCCTATCGTATTTGCTTCCTATCGTATATGTTGCCTAGCGTATATGCACATATTTTTTTATCCTTTTCATAAATACCATATTTTCACATATCGTATTTTCACTTACACATAGAAATACCAAAATTATAGAATATATTTTTTTTCCAAATTTTTATTTTTAGCATAAATAGAAATTAACGCAGATTAATTTTGATAAACATAAATTGAACGATAACATAATAAAACAGAAAATTATATTAATCACACGGATGAACGCTAAATAATTAAATTTGCAAGAATAAATTGCAACGGTGTAATTGCAAAATAAATAAATATTGGATTAATTTTCAACCTGAGGCTCATACGAACACAGTTTCCTTAAAACAGATTCACTCTCTCACCGTAAGTGCTTGAAGTCTAATCTGAACGTTTGTTTCCCAGGATACAACGGTAAAACCCATAGAATTTGAACACCACAGATACTATTCTGGCGAACTGACTAGTATCTGAAT